TCAGTATGGGAAAGCACACTGGAGACGAGGAACCACAAACACTCCTGTTGTCTGTACTCCAGTCTGAGCTACAGATTTTTCCATCATGAAGCAGCATCAGTAGGTTCCCCAGGATGCCAGATCATGCCTGTGGCAGAGTGGCAGGAGCCCAGTGCTCAGCCTAGAATGAATTTGACAGTTTTCATGCAAATATTAGATACGCACCTTTCAAACAAAAATTAGCCATGTTTCCCCAAAAAAGGTTTACTTTTCAACTCAAATTTATGTCTGCCTACCCATGTTTCATTCCAGCACATAATATGCTCATTGTTATGTGTTAAGCCAAAAGATATACACCTTCCCAGAATTCTGGGCATCCTTCACCACGGAAGACATTGTCTTCTGTTGTAATATCCTTTTTTCCTGCTGCAGTATAACACAGAGTCAACAGAAGTACAAAAACCAATGTGCTTTACTGGGAAGCAAGCAATAATGACACACAGACGCAAAACACCTGAATGAATAATCTAAATACATCTGGTATGGAAGAAATGCGGCTCAGTAAAAGTTGTAAGTTCCATGAGGGACACCACACAGTTTTATAAACCTAAGAACAGAGCAAGATCTGGGGCAGGACATCTGCAAATGAATAGATTGCTAGCTGAGACATGGACTACTTCAGGAGTTTCTTTCCCAATGTACAGAAGAGACTCAAGTACACATGTCCCAAGGCTTTTTACTTTGTCTCCTTGCAGCTCTCTGAGTTGGTAACAGGACCAAGTTATAGCGTCCCCCAAGTAAAATCCAGGAAAGGTGTTTTTAAAATGTAGCAACACTTCTGTAACATGACACATTCTTTCACACTGAAAAGGAAACAGAGATAGAGGGGAATAAAAAAGGAGAAAGACTGAAATGCTGAATGTTTTCCCACAGTATTATTTAATGTCAAGGGAGGAAAGCACTAAATAACTGGTGCAGGCGTGTTTCCCTTTGTTAACACACCCGACATCTGTGATCCTACTGCTTGCCAAGATGTGCAATCCCTTCCAGTTGTCCCAGCAGCTCAGAGTCCTGACAGAAGAGGAGATGGAGAAAATAGCAAAGGAAGAGCAGCTGTGAGTTTTCAAACATAGTTGCAATTTGTTCCGGATGCCCATAGCAAAAGCACCTTGATTTTTTTATCAGTAACCAGCCCAAACACATTTTCTTCAATTTGTTCTATGATGTGACATGACATGTTAATGGAAGGCAGAACAACCACACACACCAGACTGCCAGAGGTTGTTTAATTTCCATTGATATCCACCAAGCAAAGTGTACAAAAACTTCCAATCTTTTTCCAAGAATCTTTTTCAATTGGAATCAAGGTGTTCTTAGCCACATTCTGAAGGCATATATTTGAGCCCAAGGGCTTCGTTTTTGTGGTGATGAGCTCTCATCAAGAGCTGTTAATGGAACAAAGGATATGACACCTTTGATCAGACCAAGGAACTGTTTCACTTCATGTCTGCCTGCAGTGGCCAACACAGAGGATGCAATGTTTGCATGGGTTAGTCCATAACTGAACATTCTACTCATCTGAGATGTTTCTTTTTGACTCCTCACTTTGGGACTGACATACATCCCATTGCACTGGAGTTACCTCTTTCTTTTCAAATAGGTTGGACTGCTGTTATTTAAAGACCTTTTTGACGTTTGTCTGTCTCATTTGTCCTGCTGGAATTCTTCATTTTACAGCATTTGCTGTCTCTCCCCATGCTAATTTTTGTTGGATTCTTTAATTCATGATGTCTATAGCTCTGTTATGATTCCTTATATTGTGACCATGCTGAAAGTAATCTGAATTTCCTCCTCGCTACTTAATCCCCCAATGTGCTGCATCCTTTGCCTTTTAAGGACCTACTCCCACAAAATCATGCAGGTAGTCCTGATCCATCAACTAACTCCAATGAGAAAAGAGGCCCCACTGTGGGTAAAGGCTTTGGAGAATTTGCTCCTAAATGCTCAGATCCCTTTTCTAGTTAAACAGCATAATTCTGGGCACATCCACAAAAACAAACTGTGTTACATGAGTCAAAACAAAAAGGGAACAAGCACTTGCATACCCAGATACTTCAGAATCTTTTAAGAGGATGTCCTTTATGAACCCACAACTATCCTGGCACCCTGTGCTATGATAAGCTGCTGCATTAATTTTTGCTTTGAGCTATTTAGTGCCATCTGAGTCCATTTTTTGCTCATAGGATGAATTCCACAGAGAATCAAAGTTGGCCAGGACAGATTTCTTTTGAACCTCAGATGGAAGAGAAGGAACAGCATTTTAGCGTGTCTCTAATTACAGCCACCATGACAGTTCATATGTGTAGCGATAAAAATAACCATAAACCTACCTAATCATTAAAGTAAAGCAAACAACTCCTCTCTGTATCATCATACACAGGTACTGGAGTTGCTAATAAACCAGGAAGAGCACTGAGGCACTGGAGGAGCATCTTTCCTATCTCCACAGTTTCTTAAACAACTTTAGAGGCATATTTTTATTAAGTATATGAAAGGCAGATGATCTTAAACCTCAAAAAGAGTCTGTATAATAATCGTGTGCTCTTCTAATGCTCTCCAAAGACCTATTCAGAGTCCATTCTGAAAGACAATAATATATCAAGAACTTCTGCAAACTTCCTCCTAATGAACACATGCCAATTTGAGACCAAGAATTCTGGCCTCGGAGGACAAAATAACCACTGCACTTAGTCTCTGGGTGTTTTGCTACTTTATTTCAGAGTGATTCAAAATCTAATTAAATTTCTAAACTCTAATGAAATTACAGAAGAAAAATCATTTAGGATTATATTATATACAATTACTCACAGCTGAAAATTACAGTTAGCCTCTTTCACCAGGATAAGGTCTCCTGAGAAATCCTTGTTACTCATATAACGTATAAATCTGACATTACTGCCACTATTTACAGGTCGAAGGTAAAAGCAGAATTAATTAAACATATATATCCTGCCCAGTGGCTGGATGGTGAAGAATAGAGGGAGGGCTGATAATGATGACTGTGCTTGAAACCCCAGTTCTCAGTCTGGTCAAGAATCAGAATAAAGCTACTACAAAGCAGGATTATATTAAGCCTGGCTTATTCTGATCAGTGCTTTTCCTCACTGGAAGTATGCTGTGAATGAGAATAGTGAAGTGTACACAGTCAGCAGTGTGCAGTCAGCTAGCCAAGCTCTCTGAAGCATTTGTGGAGAAGTAGCAATGGAATAAACCGAACAGTTTGACAGAGTTCAGCCAAATACTCAGATGTTTTGTTCCTTCTCTGAAATACAAAACCCACTTGAGACAACTGACTTGGGCCAGGAGAAACAAACAAAAAAACCAAACCCCAAAACAAAACAAGAGAGTTGACATTCATGTTAGTCCTTCTGTAAGAGGTTTTCAGGAACCTTGGAGCATGGGATCATTTGCAGATGAAACACATGAGGTACAAAAACACTGGAGGTTTCTTACAAGGATCCTGATCTTTTCCACCCAGCTGGTGCAGAGATTTTTGTCTGCTTGCTTTTGGTGTTTTCAACTCTGATCCCATAGAGAACCAGGAGCAGTGAAAAGCAAAAATGAACTACACACCCATGCATATGTACCCACCAACACTCACTACTTGTCAAAGCATTAACAAATACTTTCTATGACACCTATCACAGTCAGTTGTACTTACACTTCACATGGCAAAACAGGCCAGGAACTAAGGTCACCTCAGAGAGTACATGGATCATTTTTATATTTTATATTTTTAGTGTCTCAAGAGTCTTATTTGCTGGCTAACACTGTATTTTGCTTATCCCTTCACAAACAGCTTGGAAGTCATGAATACAATTTTTCACTGAGTCTGTCAAAGCAACTTAACATTTGTCAACATCATGCTAATTTGCAGTCATTGGCCATACACATGTGCCAGTCACCATCATTCCTTACGGACTACAATGGTCCCATAAAAATCACATGTCTGGAAGGAAGGCCTCACAACTGTACTTTACTCAGCAAGACAGATATTTCATCCAGCCTTAAGAAGTGAGATTCTACTGAGACCAGATTGCTCAGACATTCCTTCACCAACAGTAGGAAAAAGAAATATTCAGGAGTTTTCTCTCTTAAAACTTCTCACACAAGATGTGTTTCAGATTATTTTGACTGGAGCATATAAGCATCCACATGGGCTGAAGATAGACAGCAAAGGACAATTCTAAAGAAGAAAGGCACATCAATAAGCAAGAGATAAAAGCAATATAGAGACCTTCCAGAGACCTGTGCTGCAAAGAAATAAGGCCTGTGTTCTTATGCTTTTCCCCTCTGAAGGACAGGCCTGAAATGAGTTTGAAGGAATGTGTTCACTTAGCAAAATGCTTGACTCGTATCAGAAACATCATCTGATGCTTTTTAGTTCCTACTATACTGAGACATTTTTCTTAGGTAGAAGTTATTTTTCAGGAACTGGCTTGCAATGGTTTATCGGCCATGGTGAGCTGCTTCTCCTCTGTTCCTGCAAAAGCTGATTATCAAAGGGAAATATTCAAACAAGTCCTTTTCTCAGAACACTATGATAGCATTCATGTTGAGTTCAAGAAAAAGCTAGCAATACTGAGAGAGAATGCCTTAGGAAGTTCTTCTAAGACAGAAAATCCACTCACTGGTCCATGGATTTATAAGACTTCAGCACAGACAAATTCACTGTAGTAGGACTTTTTCAATTCTGTAAAAATAACTATTAGTGTTTAAAGGCTCCTGAGAGAGCGAAAGAGCTGAACCAGGCTGTGACTGTTGGCTGTCCACCTTCTCCACAAAACATTTTAAAGTGGGGAGTTTGTTTATATGTTGAACTTAAAACCAAAAAAGGAAACTTCCTTTTGCAAATGTAACTACTCAGGATGTGACCACAGTTTCTCAAGGGTCATGTGACCCACTTTAGGTTTTTTTGGTTTGCCTTTTTTTTTTTTTTGTTTTTAAGACACTGCTGAAGAGCAAAATTCAGAAAACTTGGTGAAACCACTCTGTTGTCCAAACTTCATAATGACCTTACTGACAAGTTGGATATCAGTCCTAACAGCATTTCTTCTTCTTTTACGTAAGTGATCTAATGTATTTCTTTTCCATTCCTTTTGAGAGCTTTGTTTCCTGAGCTTGGTGGGCTTATTTATTCCTCAGTCTAATTGTATGTATGTTGTTTAAAACTTTGTTCCTTGGAGAAAGAACATTCATTGAGACAGATGGATATTTTGCTGAATTTTCTAGCTAACATTTCCTATTCTGAGTGCTAAGGGGTCAGAAGACACCATGAAGTTAAATACCTGCAGCTTTGTAGATGAGATGACAGAGCTGCTGTTTGGCACTGTATAGAAAACATTACTTTTAATAGAGTACGAGGGAAAAGTTGATCTGTGTGCATGTTAACTTCAAGCCACTTCTGGACTCTGCAACTCTCCCTTACAGGACTTTGATGCTCCTGACTCACACTGCTTCTAATGCTCCCTGCCAGCACAAAGCAGGGTTTTCTCACGACCTGTCTCTGAAGTCATGGTTACTCATCTCCACTTTGTGCGGGGAAGAAGTAGGGCTCAGCAGGGGTGCTATTAACACTGGGACAACGTGAACTAATGGGGAGGAGAGAGCTGGCAGCAGTTACATGGGCTATTGCCGACCTTTGGTAAGGGGGCAGGCACCCTCTGGTGGCAAAAGCCTCATTTTTTAAGTAATGCGCACCTCCCACACTACCCTGCTTCATGCAGGCATTCACAGAAAATCACCACCTACGTTTGGGGAATCCCACAAGGGCAGTTTCCGCCCCCCTAGGCATGTAGACCAGCTATTCCAGCTTTTGTCCACTGGATATCCACTCCTGCCTCACCTTCTGCAAGCAAACCTATCCATAGATCTACAGCAGTGCTCTACCCATCCTCAGGATACACACAGGAATTTGTTACTCTGTCTGGTTTTGTTGGCCCTTCAAGCCCTCTGCACCCTTCCACTGACACTTCGAAGACTCCAGAGGAATGACCACTGTCCACCACACAGGATATGGGTAACCAACTGTTCTTAGAGATGTGAAATCAGCCATGCCTGCTCCATAGTGACTGACTAGTTCTGGCTCAGCAATCAAATGGCACAAGTCCCATTAATACAGTAGCATTTACTTAGAGCAAAGGTAATAGATGTAGGGAAAATGCCTCCAAGTGCTTACATGGAAAAGTATAGGCAGGCTATATGCCTTGGAAGGAGGAATGCCTAGCACAGACTGCAACTCAACAAATTTCTGTCTCCATGTAAAAGTGACTCCTGCCCTCATCTCTTACTAAAGTGAAGGATTTTGCCTCTAATTTGAGTTCTAATGAAAGAACTCGTTTACTGGGATGCCAACAGTGCCTCTATTACTAAATTTACATGTAGTTGGAAATTTTGCTAAACTAAATACCAGCCAAAATACTTTTATTTTTTTATATTTTGATTTTCAGTAATGGTTTCCAGCAGGATAATTGCCTGTCATTCCTTTGTTGCCATGGTCATTTCTTGCTTGACTCTGGAGTTGCTCAGACACTCCCTGTGAGCCATCCCTTTTTTCTGCTCTGAGTTTCCCTAGATATTTGCTTCCTTTTCCATTTGCTGCCCCAAAGATAAATGGCACTAAGCCCCTGGCTGCTGCAGTTCCACAGGACCAGCCATTATTTGCTACAATAAGAAATCTGAGTCGGGGGAGGAAGGGAGAAGAAAGTCACATGGAAGCACGAGGCTACAAGCAAAGGAACTAAGGCAACTGCTGTGTACTGAGAAAGAAGAGGCACACATTGCTGTTTAGCACTGCAGGTTATGGCTGGGAGTTGTTTACAATATCTAATCATGTGGGGAAACGGAGCTATTCTTGCTTCCTGATCTTATGCCCAAATTGCATTCTGCATCATTTTCTTCACCGCCCTGCCCTCTGGGCAAGGCACCGCGTGAGCAGACTTATGTCGCAGGGAGAACGGGGAGAACAGGATGTCCCTCCGTGCGGCTCAAAAGCTGTCTTCTGCTTAGCTCAGCTCTGTGTGCAGCAGGTCTGAGGACGGCTAAGTCTGCCCAGGGTTACACCACAGACAAGGGGCTCCCAGCCCAATGGATTTATTTGCAGGTCCATCACTTGCTCAGCAGCTCTACCTCGGAGGGCGTAACCACTCTGGCAGAGGACTGCCTTTGCTGACAGCAGTAAGAGCCTCCCCAGCGGCACGCCTGGCTCCAGCACACCTCACCAATCCTGGCTCCTCCCACGGGCTCCCACAGTGCATTCACGGTTACTCTTTCTCTGTTCCCCCCACCTCCAGTGCAAGACCCACCCAGTCTGCAGTCTCATCTCCAGACTCTCTGCCGACAACGCGCTCATGAGGATGTCCCCCCATCAGCTGGAAATGCAGCCCGCACCTCTTACCAGCGTCCTGGTGCTGCCAGAGCCCCGCGGGGCACATCTCTGCTCCAGTGCCAGTTCCACGCTGTGTCTGAGCCAGGCACTCAGGAGAGGGGAAAGAGCGTCAACCATCAGTTGCTTCGAGAGTCTTTGAGAAATGATCCACAAGTCACTCAAGTACAGATATCAAATTCGTCTGCAAGGCTCTTCCACCCAGAAGCCTATATTCTCCCAGTCCAGAGGGTATATTCATGTGTGGGAGTTAGTCTAAACCTCATACACAGAGACAGGGAGTTAGAAAGCTAGCACTAGGACTAGAACACGGCAGAGTTTAAGGCATCGTTTCTAACCACTCTGAACCAGGAGGGTTGTGTGCGTCCCCAGAAAATCTAAACTGAAGATGAGATAGAGATCAAACAGGAAAACATGTATTTGAATTAGTTAATCCATCTCTATCCACCCAAAAAGAAAATTAAACAAACGGAAGACACCTAACACAGTCTTCAAAAGCAAATGGTACTTAAGCAGCACCCAGTAAATGATATTAAACCTTAATTAAAACCATATTGGAAGTATGAATTGAAAATATTCTCTTTAGTCTTGTGGGTTTTCAGAGATTTCCCTCCCTTTAAAAAAAAGAAACTAGTAATTTAATCTCAATATATTAAACTGACCTACGTAAAATATTCCATGTAAAATATTATTTCTGCCATAAAACACATAATCTGTCACTGGTTTAATTCCATTAGAAAGCATACATTAAGGTCCATGTATTATGATCATTAGGATAATAAAAGTAATACAATATCACTTTTATTATGTTTGAATTTAAAACATTCTTCATATGAGCACAAAGAATAATTAAGGGGATGGGAGAAAGGTGGGTTTTTTAAAATTTATAATGAAATAAAATCACAGGCGAGAGCAAAGAGACTGGTTTTTAATCTGGAAAAACAGAAGCTATGCTTTTTACATCCATTGTGTAGTCTTAGACCTTTTTTTTCCTCTTTAAATTGCCTTATCTTTATAACTTTGATTTTGGTCATTTAATATAGCCAATATAACCATAGATTCTCCACCCCTTCTAACTCCCTCTCTAAGTGTCACGGGGCTTTTGGAGAGAAAACATTTCTGCTTATGTAAAATAGGAAATACTTCTCCACAATAAATATTCTCCACAAGAAGTGGAGGAGAGGAGCTGGGACCTACAATGCTGGACACCTTAGCAGTAGGAAAACTGGATGCATTTAAGACATTAAAATTCTACTTGAGTTTCAGTGAAATGATACTCCCTCACAGTTCCCCACTATGGTGGAATGCCAGTGAAAAGATGATGTTGTGTGCAAAGCAGCTGTATTCCCAGCAGCTGCCATATGTACTGTCACCCCAGCAGTGGATTGCCAAAGAGCAATAGCTGTAGGTGAGGACTTCATGTTCTGCCTGAGGCATGTGCAGAAATTTAGCAGCATGCTGTTTTGAAAGGCAGGAGTCATATCTGTCTTTAAATCCTTCTCATGGTCCAGGCACCTCAGGCATGTCAGTCATATCATATGGAGCTACTTGAAAAGACTGCTGGAAACATCCTTGCACGCCTATTACTGAAAAAACATTTGAGTGTACATTTTTATCTATTTTCTATAATAATCAAGCAATCTTAAAATGAAATAAGACTTCTCCTTTTCCTCTTTTTTTTTTTTTTTTTAAATGTTGAATATGTTTTCTTCATGAAGTATGTGGGAATGAATTATTTTCTTCAGGGCCACTCCACTCTGAGGGCCTGCACACAGTGACTGTCAGGCAACACAACTCAGTGGCTTTATGGAGAAGGGAAGGGCCAGGAGGTGTCCTTCTCATGAACAGGGAACTTGGCAAAGGAGTCTCTGTAAAGGTTTTCTCCCAGCCCATAAAGTTTTCTTGCAAGGGGAAAAGACTCTCTTCTCTGACAGCAATAAAACATATTTAGAAGACTGGAACTACAAGCAGGATTGGGATTCATATTTTCTGGAAAGGGGGCTGTGGTGTACCATATCCTCACTTGTTAGCATGTCTTGTTAGCTTTAGTGCATCTGTAATCTTTTTCTTGGTTTATAGCAGCTCATCTCGCATAGACCTCTCAGGCCTGCAGTGAGGAAACTGTGGAATAAACATAAAATTTTGAAACTGTATTTTCTATTCTGTCCAAAAAGTGGAACATAATGGCCACATTTCTAGGATGCCTCCATTAACTTGACTACTTCGGGAAGCCTTAGATACTATCTTAAGCTTTATTAGAATAAACGATCCCCTTGGAAATAGCCAGATATGGCATTCTGCTCAGTGTCCTAACAGGCTAAAATGTTTCCATTCTAGATTTTTGGAGAGCAAAGACATATGCTTCTGGAAATCCAGAAGAGGAAATAGGTGAGTTCATGGTGAGATTTTTGCTTCCAGACAGGAAGTTAGAGGCAAAGTAACAAAATTGAATGTCTTTAGAAGACTTTATGTACTTATTATGTGTAAAAGATAAGTGTCCGATTGCACGTTTTTATTTGCCTAGCGCAGCAGAGTCCTGTCATGTGACTGATGCTTTAAATTACTTTTAGGTAAGCATAATGAGCATAGGGAGTACAGAGCCTGGAACACAGATCCTGAGCACATGCACCTTCCTGCTTGACATATGGAGGCAGACCCTCATGTACACACAGTGATGCAAAATCACAACATGGTGCATAGTTTACACTCAAAAATTCCCCTCCTTCCCCCCAGCAAAAACTTAGAGGCAGAACAGTCAGGCATGACAGGAGGCTAGGGACTAGGAGGTGGATATGTGCAGTAAGAGTTTGGCAGGATGCAGAGTGGCAAAGGAGTGGGGATGGGGTATTTTGCTTCAGGGGGAAAGTGTAACCCTAGCTCTAAAACTCATCTGAGACCTGCACGCACCAAAGGCTGAAGTTGTTCATTACAATAAAACACCCTTGAGCCCCTTAGCAATGAGTTCACATGGATTCATGATATGCAGGGGTTTGAAAGAGTAGACTCAGACTCTTCTCAGCTACCTAGTCTGGTTCAGTGTTATCATTTTTTAAGGATGCATTTAAACTTTGGAAACTTTGTGTCAGATCTGAAACAAAAGACTGCATTTATTACTTAATGGTGTATACTCGCTGACTTGTTTTCCATATTTGCAGATTACACATATGTTATTATAGGAACTACTCTGGGAGCACTTCTGTCAATTGTTTTTGTAGCATTAATCATCTGCATGATCAAAACCCAAATGTTGGACCATGTCTCTGGAGGTAAGAAAAAATACTCCTGATCCCTTATCTAGAGATCTAGTTCTCCTTATCTTCTGATACAGCAGATCTGAGCTTCAGTGTTAGCAATTGTGTATGTACAACAGCCCTAGTTTTCCTATGAAGGACTATTTTAAACATGTCTGAAGTGATGGGCTGCCTGGAACTGTAGATTCACATTTCAGTATCATCAACTCTTTAGCCTCGAAGTTGTTTCTCATGATATTCTGGGTATGTGCTACAGCCAAACCCAAACCAGCCAAAATATTAGCAAAGATACAGCTCTGAGGAAATGAACATGAGATATTCCAGCTGGAAGAATCAGGGTGGGCTTTAGGAGAGTTGCATGACACAAATATCAAAAGAGTTTTGCCTCAGAAAGGATGGCTGTATCTTTACCAGCTGTAACTACATTCTCCTGGTTCCCTCCTTACAACTTCTGCACAGGCCTATCACCACCCTGTTCCTAGTTTTGTAATTAACCACATTGTCTTGTTCTCTCTTTAGAGTCAGATGGCAAAATGGATAGAAGGTAAGAGTCATTGTGTTTTCTGAGGCAGTGTGATACACAAACCATGTTTAACTCCTCTCTCTCTTTACTCATGATGCTTTCCCATGACTGCCATTTGAATGATTGCACATGACACATATGTAAGCCTCTAGAGGATTGGGATATCTTGTGGATCTATGTGGAAAAAGGAAATTCCTTGTAATGGGGTTTTTAACATTTCAGAACTACACAAGAAATCCCATGAGACTGAGATCCTTTTTATAAAGAAAATCCTTCAAACACTTGCGATTGAGCTTCTTTTTTTAAAATTTATACTATATATAATAATAGCAAACTCTGGGTAAATGGCTTCATCAAAGGTTATTACTGTTTCTGGATCTCACTTTGGAGAATTCCCTTCACTCCAAGCTCTTACAGGTCAAGGTCATGCAATGATCATTCCTGCTGGAAGGGATGCATCTTTGCCCTTCACTTTCCTCACCCTTACCCAGAACCAGTATGGCCATGGAAAAAAGAAAATCCCCAAACCATCACAAACACAAAACCACCACAATTCCTCTCAGTTTATTTCCTGAAAATGCTCCTTCAGAGCATTGAAATATTACTTGTGCTGAGTACCTGCAGTGTAAGTGCTACAGGAGGAGATTCCTCAAGAAAATTCAAGCTGCTCATTTTTATCATGGTTATTTTTCCCCATATGTCGTAGTTTCCCATTTAGTCAGGTCACCAGAGACACATGTGGTAATTAGGTCTAAGTTGATTTTAGCTACCTCCTTCAGTTCTGTAGGGAATTCTAATTCATGGAATTTTTAGACCAGTGGCTAGTCCTAGAAAACCCTTTGATAAAGTAAAGTCCATTATCTGAAATCACCTGGTTCTAGATTTACTCCAACCAACCATATAGCAATCCTGAATCCCTCAGGGTTACAGGCAACCTGAAACCCTCAGTGTTAATCAAGACACCACCCTTTTAGGATAGGAGAGGAGAACTGGCATATCTTTTGCAGGCAGCTTCATTTTCTGCTTGACTAGTTATGATTGTTAATGTTCGTTCAGGGAAAAAACCCTTAACCCAGCTGTTAGAACACTCACCAAATTCACCTTCAGCCAAATTTTGTTCAAAATTTCACATCATTTTTCCCACAAATGCCTTAAGCCACTCAATAATTTCCCTGCTGGGAAATACTCCGAGTGAGTATTACCCAGCACAGTACTTTCATAGTCGATGGAGTTGCTCAGCCTCCTACCAGTTGAAGGCCTTGACGCAGATAATCATCGTCTGTGTTAGAACCCCGTTTAGCTGGTACTGATCCTAACCAACACATTGCAAGAACAGATTTCCAGTAAAGTCAGGAAGTATTCCAATGTGTCTCCCTTGATAGTTTCCCAAATACTTCAAACACAAGTGTTTTTACACCCACATGATACCGACAGCTCATTGTGAAACAATTAACAGCATTTACTGCTTTATTTAGTCAGGTATATAACATTAAGATTTAAACAATCAATTCAGGATGGGATGCCCTTAAACTCAGTGGGATATTTACTAACACTTGAGAAGAGAAAGGCTTGAGGCAAGCTTCTGTCAGCCAACAGAACAGTAATTTAGATGTCAACTGACAATTATTTAACGTCCTCTTTTTTAATTAATAGCTCATGTCAGTATCAAATGCCATCTTGGTGTAAGCTTGGTAAATTATAATGCCTAAAAATTTCATGCAAGTTTAATGTATTCATAAAAATGTCTGGGCACATTTAATGCTAGCAATATTTTGAGTTAACTACAGTGCATGGCAGCCAGATTTATTTTGACAGGAGACAAAGAAAGAGACATACAGAGACAAGAAGGGTGGTGAGATAGAGAATGTTTACTAAAAGGGAAAAGGTACATATTTTAAATCTGCTACAAATGAATTTGTTGTCAACACATCCTGGGCAACAGCACACAACAAAATTTCCCATGCTACTCACTGGGTTCTACAGGACCCAGCAGGAGATGAGGTTTTAAATGCAATACACAAATTATTCTGATGTTTGATGGAAGAGAGGAAGAAGAGGAAGAACTTGGGAGCTGCTTGCCAAGTGTTTTGGTGATTTTCTTTTCCTACCCAAAGCTTCATCTAGATATTCTCTTGTATTTTCCATCTTGACTTCTAAGAGACTGACTTCCCTGTCCTTTTCTAGGCTGTGCTTGAGAAACACGAGATATTTTTGAGAATTGTAGCGTTCTTTAGGTGAATGGAGAAGGTCTCGGAATGTTACCATGCCTTGAAAGCCTCCAGTCTGCTCTGAAAAACTCTAAACCAGAGCAATGAATTGCATTGGAGGCGAAATCCTCTACTTTGAAAATATAAACATCGCAGATGGATGGCAGGGCAAAGACTAGGTTTGGGCAATCATAAACAGACTTGAATATTGAGCAGCAGTTCCTTCCAAGTAGCAGAACTGTCACAGAGTCTCTTTCCTAATATTTGTCATGTTCAGGTCAGCAGCCTGACAGACAGAGATAGTGAACAAGATCTGATCTTAAAATTTCATATATTTCAAACTGGTTTGAAGTCAGATAGAAAGACAAATGTCTTGTTTTAAAGCAGTTGAGAGCAGTTCTTTCCGATCCAAATAGTCCAGCTTGGTGTGGAACACTGTGAATAGCAGAATGCATTGTTTAACAAACAGGAAGCAAAAAACATAGGCATGAGTCATATCACTGATACTATCACCTGCAAATGAGAGACACAACCTGTCTAGTCACCAGAATCTGAACTCACAAACAAACTTACCTGCACCCTTTGGCCCTGAGTCTTCATCTTCCAAAGTTCCAAAGCCTCTTTTTTTCTTTTCCTCTTCCAGGAATATTCCTTTCAAATTATGAAGTCAGTTTCATCTCCTTGGTTCTGGAACAGATGGGCCATGTAGATTCAGCAGAATCTTTGACACCTCTGAGCTCAAAGACTTGAATGGATTCTCTTAACTTCCCTCAGCTATACTCTATACTTTCACTTGCCAATCTTGTTTTTCCAAGCAGACCTTCAGAAGTCTTTCATTCTGCCAAGTAATATATTCTACAAACAACTCAATCATCAGGTCAACAAAGTTTTCATAAGTTGTTAGTTGTTTACAAATAAGGAAAAACAGAGCAAACAAAGACACTTAGCCTCTTTCATGATCTAAATAAGCCTTGCAAAATCAATCAAAAATTATTCCTGTGTAGTCTGTTTTGACTGCAGAGCCTCCCTTCACATTGCCACCATGGCCAAATACCAGCAGTGAACACCTATGGGGAGAATGGGAGTGAAAGACAACTTGGAGAGCTACAGTCCCCTTAAGCAAACGTGCATTTGCACTTCACCAAGTAGATCTCACCTGCACAAGATGAGTCTGGCCCTGGTGATACACTGGAGCAGGCCCAACTCCTTTCTCAACAGATCCAGTAGGGATTATTGGATGGGTGATAGACTGAAGGCTGTATTCACTGCCTTAAGTTTTCTCAGCACGCATCCTGGGAACTGGGTTTAATGGAAAATATATAAAAGCTGCACAAATAATGCATGTTATTGCAAATAACTTAACTATGAGCAGAGATGGCCTAAACAACTCCATGTGTGCGTAAATGTTAAAAAATGGGCAAATGATCTCAGCAGAAATGGCTGTCTCAACTTGTACATATACATTTGCATAAACAAAACGTCAATACCCATTCTGTGTTGAGGGAATAGCCACCAGTGACTAGACCAATAAACTGGCTTTTCTACCTAGTTCTGCCACTGTCCTGTTTAGCTGAACTTGTTCTTCTCAGCAACCTTGGACAAGTCACTGGCTCAGGTTACCTTTTCCATAAAATGAAATTAATCTTTATATCACACACTTCAAAATCAAGGACACTAAGCTTTGCACTATGCTGGGGACAGAGGCTTTAAGAGGCAGCACTAAGACACTCTGTAGGCACTTTCACGTTCTCAGCTCCTCCTAGCACCATTCCTGAATGGAGGGAATACTTTGTATGCAGACACACACTGAGAGACAGTTATATATATATATACATAAGTATGGCCCAAACTGTTAGGGTGAGATTAATTCATTAAACCCGTTTCCAGGATACAGCATACTTCACTGATGCCAGCTACCAGCCTGATGGGCAGAGCCACACTTCTGGCTATTTTTTGCTACTCCCTGGCCACCCTCCACATTCCCTGGGAGGGCATCTGGCCCAGGATGCCTGCGCTCCCTTCGGATCTAGGGGCTGCCTTTGTGGTTGACCTTTTCACAGCTGCCAAACAGGGAGGAATCCTTACTCCTTCCTACTCTTCTGCACAACTGTTTGAGGCTAGTCTTGAATAGCTTTAAATAATTTGATTGTAAGAGTTGGTGCCCAACTTGCTGAGTCAGGAGAATGCTTTCCTGGTAATATTCAGACACCTGTCAGAGGCAATTCTTTCCACAGCCATCATGGCCTCTGCTGGCAAACTTGCTGGTGCAACTGATTCCAGCAATAAGCGAGTAATTCTACCTCTCTCTGGAGCTTCTGCAAGTCTGGATAAAAAAAATTCAGAAATATTTCTGGAAGAGTACCCTCTTCACTCCTGTCAGCAGGCACCCAGGATAACTCAAATACTAGATACCACCAAGCACAGAGCCTCCTGCTCCCTGGCAGCACCTGTCTGCCAACCAGACTGAGTAGCTTTGTATTGACTAGGGCTTGTCAGAGAGGTGACAACATGGGATTAGCTAGGAATGAAAGCTGCTATGATAACTAAACAACAGCTTGAAACCAAATCAAAACAAGGCCTCTTGATGCAAGAGACTCTGAGTGCCACGGGTCTTAGAAAAGAACAGGATCAAATCAGAGCTCCTGTGTATTCCAGCTCACAGATTTGCCTGTATCACATGCAATTTCTGCACACAAATTCACTCTAAACTTATGAAAAAGGAATCACTGATTTCAGGTGGACTCCTAGGAGCCTTTTTCGGTGACATCTCATAAAATAAGATTATTTATAAATTCTTTTTTTAAGATCATGGGTACTGTCTGTCAGATCATTTTATCTTCATTTATCTTCAACTTTCCAAGAGTTCTGCCTTGAACAATCTGTACTAAGTATGATCACAGCTGTTTGTTTTTCTTCTGATGGTTGCTTATAATCATCCAGTCTCCATATTCCATGTGCATTTTACAACCTGGTGTCAGAGAACAAACAGCAAGCTGAAAGAAATGGGTATCACAAAGTGATGCTGACTTCTGCCTTGTAGGCTGCAAGTGCTTGGGGATCCATGGTGTATTTCTCAGCAGTTCACAGAAGTTTATGGGCTTAGAGCAGTGAGGTCTAATATAAACAAATCAAGGCTGTAAGACAAGATCTTATTCCCAAGTGCTGACACTAGATGGAGTAAAACTGAATAAAAGATTAAGAGCAGTGAAGAAAAGAGAAAAAAGTTCCTACATTTCCCCAACTCCTAATGCATTGCTCATTTGAATTCTCAGCTTTGATTACTGCTCTGAAGGTCACAATTAACATCTCACACTCTATACTTTGTAGGTCAAACATGGGATCAAGCCAAAACAGGTATGTTCTGGGGGAAGGGGAATGCTGGTGGTACAGGGGGGTGGAGTGCCTAGGCAGACACACAGAAGCTGTAGAGTCACATTTACATAGGTAAAGGTTGCACAGCAATAAAGGCTGTGGGGTTACCCTGAGCTCCTACTGACAGCCTGGATCTGCCAGACACTCTGTGTGGCTTTAGGCAGGTAATTTAAGGGCCCCATCCTCCAGCTTCCCAGCTGTGTACCTGGAATACCCTGACATAAGGCCCAGACATGTTGCAGAGCTGCCTGCCCTATGCCCCACATTAGCAGGTACTTGAAGTAGTAAGTAACAAGAAAGATGCAGCCACGATAGGGATCCAGGAGCTGCTCAGCTGCTTCCCACTCCTGTGTCAAGGCAATACTGGGAAGTACCCAAATGACAATAGTCCAGTACCTGCAGTACAGGGAGCAGTTCTTACAGTAGGATGCTACCCTAAAGTGCATTCCTTGCTGCTAGTGGATTCCTATCTGGCAGTGATGAGGGCATCTGGAAGTCACCACAACAGCCACAATCATGCATTTGTTCTGTTAATTCACTCAGGAAAAAACAGATACTTCCAAAGGTACAAAGAAACACCTAGCAAAAAAAAGCTAAGTGAAAGGAATTTCATGAATGTAATTCCAGCAGCTCCATTAATAATTTTCTAGAATTCCTGTGATTTTTATCTGAGCATCTGCCAGCTGAGTTTTTACAATGATGTTATGTAAAACCAAAGTCAGAGAGTAACTGTTAACCTGTGATTTTTCTTTCTTTTCAGAGATGACATCCATGTACTGGAAAACCTAAGTACAAAAGATCAATAACCCTTTTGCAATCAACAGTTACCTGGTCTGAGGATCAATAGAAGTCTCTTGTGCACAGGCAGAAATCTTACCAATACCAATTCCTTTCTTTGTTCTTTAGTTGAAAGGTTGATTGATTGATTACAGGAAGAGCTTATAGTGCATGCTAACTTCAGTCACTTGCACCCAAAAAGCCTGCAATGCCCAGCAGCATGTATATGAACAAAATGTATGAAGAAAACAAAATAGATGAGTTCTGTTCATTAATAGATCCTATTTAGTCTGTGATAAGTATATGATTGATTTCTAAAATCAGTTAAATACAAGGTAATAAAAAAGGTAGCAATATAATTCAGGAGCAGAATTCATGATCACTCCCATATTTCAAGATAGGTTAATAATGACTGCACCAAGTTGGAAAATCATTCATTTGAATTTGAAGCAACACAAGGCTTCTCAAATTTTTCAGGAAATATATGTTTTGTGTTAATAGAAAAACATTCAGCCATTTTAAAGTTTTATATTTTTAGATTTAGTAATGATGTCTTTTGTCTGTAGGTGGTAGTGCTGATTTCAGCCATTTTAAATGAATTATGGCCATTTAAAATGAAAAATTCCTTTTGAAATAATGTTTTTCATGTTTTGTTGACATTTCATGTCAGCACTGTGCAAACAAGCTAATCTGACATTTCCAGAATTAACCCATCTCTATTTTTTTAGTATAAGAAAATGCACTAAGTTCAATTAGAATTTGTGAATAATTTCACAGAATCTTCATTCTTGTTCTAGCTTTGTATATTCCAGTGTACTTGATTGCATCAAAATTGCTTGCCAGTTACAAGCTTCTTACAGCAGGAGTGACAAAAAGAAAATTTAGAGCTTTGTCTCAGAACATTTAGAATAGTTTAAATAATTTTAAATAGTGTAAACTCAAGTTACTTTGTAAACATTTCCAAACTTCTACTATATTTGTGAGCCTCTGGCTTTGGAAAACAATGCTGTAGATTCCACTCTATTTAATCCTCTTCTTTCAAGACTGCTGTATGTAACATATTGTCATTACAAGGTGCGAGAAAAGCAGGAAGATTTTTGTATTCCAAGCCAGGCTTTCCTTTCTGCTTCTGAAGACAGGGCAGCAAATCCCAGCTGTGGGAGCTCAGGGAGCACTTGGCCAGCAGCAATGCCACGCTGGGCATCCTCTGCTATTCCCACAGCAATTGTAAGACTGAAGTCTAACCTAGAAGTTCTGTGTGTTACTAAGAAATATCACTCAAAAAAATCATGGAAACCAGAGCCTCCTATCCAGTAATCAACTTTCAGATCATAAAGAGCTGCAATTAACCCTACACATTAAAGGCAGAGCTGATGTGCTGTATCAGGGACTTAGAGTCAACATACTGTTAGACCGTACAAACAGATATATCAGAATTTTGTTTTTATAAATAATAAGCTACTTTACTACTTGAACTGTAACTGAAGAGATTTGAATATGTTTTTTTTCTGACCTTCACAAAGCAGATAATTTTTCAAATGTGCAAAGGAAATTGGATAGTAATTTTTCCACACATTTTGAATAACAAAATGTAAGGTTTATTTTGAGAGAAAAATGGTATATTGGTGCACTTTCTCTAGATTCCTACATGTGTGTTACTCATTTCAGTAACACTGTAGTTCATTAGCACCATTTGCTAAGAGATAAACTAAAGCAGTAATGTAATACTTGTAAGTAATTGTGTGTACATGTGTAAGTGAATAAAGCATCTTGTAAGGTATCTGTTAATTGATTTGCTTCCTTTAGTATCAGTTTAATTAAGACTTGGACCAGAAGAGAGCATGTGGTCAGGGAGGAAAGTGATTACCTTCCCTTATTTGTGTGAACAAATGTTTCAGTACACGTCATTTTGGTACAGTACGGGAAATAAAGGTGAAAATAAAAAATGGTAAATAATAAGCAGTAGAGGAGAAAGGCCTGGAGAATTAAGATTAGTAATCTTGATCAGGCAAATGTGCAGGGGTGGTGATTAGATGATTTCTCAAAACCTTTAGGTGTGTGTCTTGGCTCCCTGGATATGGGAAAAGGATGGGCAGTGCTGAGACAGACAGCTGGGGACAAGGCACCTCCAGAGCTGCTGCTTCTGCTGTCACTGGGAGGTTTGGGCACACTTAGTCACTGTTACATGGGGCTACCCTGACAGTCTTTTGCTCCCTCAGGGAGTTGGTGGTTTTGTCCATTCCTACAACCAGCTTTACTAACACCACTTGCAGCATCAACAGCTCCTGAATTTGGGCCAAGCTGCACAGCAGTGCTTAGAAATAATCAGTGAAGGAAAACTAGATGCAAGGGGAGCATTTTGGAGGCACTCAGTCAAAAGACAAAATACACTGTTAGCTCCACGAATTCTTGGTCAAGGATACGGCTCAGGCAGTCCACAACCCCCACAACAGGCATCTGCACTCGCCTGTTTGCATGTCTAGCACAGGTTATGCCTTCCCATGCTAAGCACCCGACACTCTCCCTGAGCTCACTGCCATTCTCCTGAATAGATAACAGTGGGAAGGACTTTGGAGTCAGGATTTGGATACATGCCCCAGCATGCCATGCCCGGACCTCAGTCTCCTCACAGCAGATGCCCAGCGACATAATGATGCTTGTGAATAGAGTTATTGAGAAGAGGAGACAGTTGTAGACACAAGAAGTGAGCTAAGAGGTGCAGGCACAGCATGCATTTCTAAAGAGATAACGATGCAGCATTGGCTTTAATTACAATGCAAGTACCACAGCAACAGTGAGATCATTCAAGTCAAATCCTGCTGTCAGCTGCATCAGTGCAAATTGAAACTAACTGCAGGAGTCACACAGCTTGGTGCAGCCCTTGTTCACATGGTAATAAATCAGGCAAAAATCCACTGGACTCAGTACAGCTGCATGGGTAGAGAAGAAGTGCCTGTGGGAGGAGTACTGTAAATCAGACCCCACTGATATAAATCTGCTCTGAGCAGCATGAGGAAGAGGAGTCAGATTCAGCTCCTCGCAAACAGAAAGGATGGCAAATATCAATAGCCAAAATAGTTGCAACCTGAAACTTTCTTGGCTTCTCTCATGCTTATAAATGAAAAATCAGGTCATTTTAGTCAGGAGTATTTTTTCTGTTTCTTATATCTGCACTTAATCAAAACATTCACTCACTAACCAAATATGGGAAAACACAAGAAAGTACTTACCTATGAGACCTAATAGAAAAAGGATAATTATACTATACAAATAGGACTTACAGAGGCTTCAAACTTCTGAAAATTGCTCTCATTACACACAAGGAATATTACAATATAGCCAGCCTAGATCTGACAGAAGTCCATCTTCTCCAATAGCCTCTCTGCCTCAGGGGCTAGTAACAAACATCTAGATGAAGCCTAAGAGCATTGCAAGCATGTCCCAACGCTCTTCTAGAAGACCCTACCACCCTACAGGAAACTTCTGCTTAGTGTCACTAAGCTAAAAGTGGTCCTGTTGAATTTACTGTTTTCTGGTTTATTTTTCTTCCGTTGTCAGAAGTGGTTGATTCCATAGATTGATTCCATACTGTTATACATAAAAAAAAAAAAACCAAAACACAAAGGCCTTTGCCCTTTCTGTCACTACATGACTGGATTTTTATGAATTTTCATGCTCACATATCATGAAAGCAATTCACGTAGTCCTAAGAAGTCATGTTTGCACTTTACAGAGAGGGGAAATGAGACATGGAGCAGACCAAATGCTGTGCCAAAGGCCAATGCAGGATCAGCAGGGCAGAGAGTATAGACTAAGTTTTCCAAGTTCAATGTGAGTGAGCTAACTAGTAGACCATCATTCTTTACTGCTGCCTCCAACAAAAATGCTACTTTTGGAATGGTTAGTTGTTAAGTATTTCACCTTATTGCATATATATTTGGTTTCAATTCTCATATTTCAGGCTTCAAGCCCTAGAAAAACCCTGTGCTTTCACTCACAGCTGCATCTAATGGGAGCCTCACCAAAGTCAGTGACATTACACTGGGGCTGAACACCGTGTGGACTGATAACAAGGCCAAATGCATCACAGACAAAGTGGCACAATGCACACATTCTTTCTTCTGCATCCAGATAAAAATATGTCTCATGTTTCCCACCCTGCTTCACCCTCCCCTCTGCTGTAACCCACACAGTGCTTGCAGGATGCTAATGGTGTTTCATTTGCACCCCTCACACCACTGCTAGTGGTGATCTGTACTAATGCAGACAATCCACAAGACCTTTCCTTTGCAGATCAGATCCTACTCAGTGCTATCAGAAATCTTTCTGAGTCAATGGGCAATTAAAATAATTAACTTTAATCATATTCTTCAATTACTCCACAGTACTGAAGGAGGACTCGGAGGGCTGGGACCAGATGCAAACATATTCTGTTGTGATTAAAACTGACTGAAATGCTCCAGTGAATATAAAACACTGACTATTCACCCCTTTTGGGAATGACCTCTGTACGTTTTAAGCTGCTTGATATTTAAACTCATTAGAGGGACCCTAGGGAAGCAACAGAAACCTGTGCTGAGCGCCCAAGAGCTCCTACAGAGACCCATTCATAGGAGCTGCCACCTTGAAATGCATGCAAAACACAAACCAGCTACTTAGAAGAAAAGACTGCTGTGTGTTCGCAGAATGTTCTAACAACAACTGGCAAAGCAACTGTGAAGTCTGGGCAGGCTGGTAGGTGAATCTGCCCCTCACACACTGGGTATCTCTGACAGGTCTGGCCCTTGCTATTCCAACCCAGGTTCCACTTTTAGGGGCTTCCAACATCCTTCTGTCCTGAGGGAAGGTCCCTGACCTCACATCTCAAAGGCTGTAGGCACCTGACTGTTTCCTTTATGCCTCTCCGTACTGGAGGCTTCTCCTACTTCCTGCCAAAGGGATGCAGTGCCCAAAGTAGAGCTGGAATGGCTCTGCTGTACATCAGGGGGTCCTGGTGTGAGAAGCTGACTGGATGTGTTTGGTATGGGACTGGGGACAGTGGTAGGTTCACAGTGACCTGGAGGGGAATGCCTGGGAAATCATTTTTTCTGATAAGCAAACAGGTGATATAGAGAACTAAATATAAGAGAGAACTAACTGATGTTGGGAAGGGGTTAAAAGTGATTGCAGAGGAAAAGGTGGGATGTGTGAACTTACACTTGCCTCAAATCACTATTTTAGCAGTCAGGAACAACAGAAAAAGCAGAGTATTGCTTAACTTGGAGTTTTGCACTATGATACTCTACTTGAGACCCAAAGTCTTCAAGTCATGCAGCTGTGGCAACTCCCACTTTAATTTAAAATATACCTTGCTTTTGAGGCTGTAGAGAACAGTTAGAAGCTGTGATCTCTGCAACATCATAAAGGTTCAGAAAGTGGGAGATCAATAGTACTAATACCCCCCCCAAACTCTCTTAACTGTCAAGAATATATGCTTATGGATTTTTGAATTCTCAGAGTTACAAATACAAGCTCAGTAAAACAAAACGCCCATACCTGCTTGTTACTGGAGTGGCAGTTCCTTCCCTGGGACACACACCAAATCCAAGAAGTTCCTGGCTTACAAAGGACAAAAGCCTAGCCCTGCATTTCCTCTCAAAATTACCCCAAAATGAAATGCAGGAAAGGCCCCCTAAATATTGCTGGGAACTCATGTGTGCAAATGATTTCCACTAGAGACTGGCAGAGGTGAGTTAGAGGTGTGAATGAAAAGCATGCATTGGCATATAAATGTAAAGATTGTGTATATCCCACTACTAGGCAGTGTCAATACCAACGAGTTTACCCATCTCTGTTCCCTTCCCCCCACGATATTGAGACCTCTCTTACACTGACCCAATATGATTGCTGCCTCAGTCCCGTATCCTCTGCACAGAAATGATTCCCACAATCATTCCTACAATCCCTGAACACTATCACCCATATACCAATGCAGCACATTAATAAATAATGCAGATCTAATTAATAAGATTTTCCAAATAATGTTCTTGAGACAATAAGTCAAATCTAGTTCCTATTACAGCATGATATACACATACAAGAGGGTGCAAATGGAAATTTATTCTCAAACCCACATGATGTAACATTTATATGACCAATAAACTTTTGATTCAGTTCTAACACCTGACAGACTTTTCAAAATAGATGATGAAAGCAGTCAACATTGTACAAAGAATTCAATCATTAGGATCAAATTTTTCAAAGAGAAAAAGACCTTATTTGGCACCTCAGTACCAACCTCATCCCCAGTCTGTGCCCTGATGTAGTCTGCACTGGGTGCACCACCATGCATCCTACCCTTGGCTCGTCTCTGCTTATTGTTGGAGCTTGAAGCTGGAGCACCAACAGCACTATGGCCCAGCAACATGCACTAAAATTGAGCAATCTCACTGCATACACTGAAACCTTCCCCTAAAGGAGCGCAGATCTGTGCAATGTAGCCCTTTATGTGCACCACGTTGAGGGGCTTAGACAAACTGCATTCGGAGTCAAGTACAAGCACAACAGAGTTTAGTTTCTCCATTGAGTTTAATGGCAACAAGATGAAGCTGTGACTGGACCTTCTGTGTGAGTCATAAATGCCTTTCTATCATGACTAAGGAAAAATAAAAAATTCATCTCATGCCCTTGATTATTCAGTAGAAACCAGTCATTGACCTAGAAGCACATGGTTTTTCAGGCATCTTCCTTGGGGAGGTGATATTATTGACCTGAATCGGGCTGAGGCTTTGAGCATGTTGG